GGCGATTGTGCTATTCTTTTTCCTATTTAATTTAAAAGCAAAAACCCAAAGCCCATTATTAAGCGCAGCTTCTGCATTAATTTTCAGTCTGCCAACCTACTGTACTCCAGAAAGACAAGGTCTTGCTACAGAAAATAGCTTCACTTTTTTTTTTTTTTTTTGCCATGTGTGAAGTTGTACATGTCACCGTAAATTTACATTTTGTGTTCCATGAATATTTCACTGTTGAGAGGTGAATGATTTACCTCTTTTTTTTTTTCCCTGAAAGTACAGCATTTTTATATTGCATTAATACAACCAATGTTTCAGGCATTGCTAATATTAAAAATGGATTTAATTATGACTTGATTCATCCAGAGCTAAACCATGGCTGATATCTGAGCAGACCAGGCACAAATCAGGTGTAATTCACATCCCTAATTATTATACTAACAATTTCTTGCTTCTGAAACATTGAAATGACATGCCCGGTATAATCATGATGAAGAGCAGTAGCAGGCCAGGAAATGCAGCAATCTTCAGTAAGGCATGCACTGTACTGAAATATCTAAGCAGAATAAATAGGAATTATACCAACAAAACGTTCAGAAATGGACCAGGCTCTGAGCATCCTGAAGGAGCTGTGGGTGGGTGACCCAGCTCACCGCAGGGGAGTGGGACCAGATGGCTTTTAAGGCTCCTGTCTAACTCAAACCAATCTATGATCTCTGTCAGTGCTCCATTTCCACGTCTGGAGAGCACAGAACCACAGAATTGCAGAATTTCAGGGGTGGGAAGGAACCTCTGGAGTCCTCCCAAAGCAGGTTCCTTAGGGCAGGCTGCTGAGCACACTGCAGCAGATCCCAGGTTAAATAATGAAGTAAATCCTTCTCTCTCGTCTCTGGGCTCCCGCTATTCTTCAGTCTGGTTTTCTGTATATTGGTTTACTTTTGGGGAAAAAAATAATAATAAAAAAAAAAATCTGCATTTTAAACAATAAGCATTTTGGCACCGGAACAGTCTTTTCTTTATACGCTGTATAGCACTAAGGCCACTGCCGGTGGCAAAGCACTAGTAACTCACCCATAAAAAAGCTCTAATAATAGGGGGAAATGACTGCATCGAGTTCAGGCCCGCGACACCCAGCTCTGGGATACGGGAAATGTGGACCCCCACCCAACCCTGACCCCTCCCATGACTGCGTGACCCCCAGGCAGGGCTGCCCTGCAGTGCCCAGCCCTCGTGGGCACCTGGATCTGCTGGCCCTGCCTCCCCTCAGGGCAGCACTATGGGGAGCAGGGCTGCAGGCTGCAGCAGGGTCTCAGTGGCTGCGCCTGGGGCACTCGGTGAACTGGGTACCACTGAGGCAGTCAGTGAGGACACACTGATACGCTCAAAGCACTAATAAGGGCTGTGTGCATTGCCCTTAAATGTTCCTATTGGAGGCACAAATCCCAAATGGGCGTCTTATCCGTGCCTGGAACTTCCTTGGACACAGCCATGTCGAGGTCGCACTGCATGCCAGGCTGCAGGTCCCCTCCGAAACACCTCTGCCGGGCCAGGCGATGAAGTCCTCATGGCTGGGGGTGCCACCCCTCAAGCCCCCTCCCCTGTGGGGCAGGGCACAAAGGCACTGGCAAAGCCACAATTGCTCGTGCTTGGGGGGAGGACAGAGGTTTTCGGAGCCGTTGGACGCAGCGGATGTGCTGCCATTCCCAGTGCAAACAGAAGGGAGGGCATTAGGGACTTCTGCTGGAATTCCATGGAGAAGCAGCCCTGCAGCCCGGAGGCTGGAAAGTGGCCATGTTGGCGTCACTCTGGAAGGGCTTCCAGTGACCACAGCCTCATTGGCGAACACCCTTTGAACCCCGCAGACGCTTGCAAGGCCAGGAGAGGACAGGTGGAAGGAAGGAATACGTCAGAGAAAAACGGTACCCAGGATCTAGAGGCTTCCTGGCAGGGTGCACACTGGGCAGCGTCACCGGGGCCCTCTGGATGGCCTGGTGGGAGCACTGAGGTGGGCCATGGTCACAGTGCAAATACCACAGCCATCCGAAGAGCAGGAAGGACCCATCCCATAGCAGGAGGCTGCCATTTGCACCCACCCCGGCTGTGGCCCCAGAAAAAGGCAGAAGGACAGCAGGTGAGGGGCTGCAGTCCACCGTGGCCCCTGGACATGTCCACCACTCTGGGACAGCTCATCCTCCCCAGACCCACAGCAGTGCGCGGGGCTCTTTGTATTCTCTGGGGATGAAAGGCTGGAATTTGGGCAGCTGTCCTGCTCTGCTGCCCAACAGAAGTTTGGATTTTGACCACCTTCGTATTGCCACAAGGAAGAGAAACCATGAAAGGTTTCTCACCCACCCTCCAGCAAGCTGAGGCGGAAAAGGTGGGGCCCACAGCCATCCTGCCCCAGACCAGCACCCTCTTAATGGCCATGCAGAGCAGGACCTGACCTCATCCATCCCAATGGGCACCCGTGGCTGTACCCCACTCCTTACCCTCCTCGAAGCCCCCCAGCGAGGTACTCTGAACCCATCCCTCCCCGTGATCCCAGTGCAGCACCCTGATCCCATCCCTGTCAAAAGCCATACAAACCAGCACCCCAGTCCTCCCGATGGCCGCCAGCATGGTACCATACTTCTTATCCTCCCAGTTGCCATGAAGAACAGCACCCCACTTCTCAACCACCAGTTGAGAACCCACCACCCATAGCAACATCCCACCTCCCACTGCTCCCAGTGGCCACCCAGACCAGGACCCCGATCCCATCCCTCCCCACTACCCTGCTGATCAGCTCATTTCCCTTCCTTCCACTTGATGCTCCTCCCCAGAACAGCACCCCACTTCTCATCCCTCCCCAGTGCTACCCAGAGCAGCACCCCACTCCCTACTGCCCCCAATGGCCACTCAGAGCAGCCCCTCACTTCCAACCCCCACACTGCTTGCCCAGAGCAGCACTCCAATTCCATCTCTTCCCATGGCCATGCCCATCAGCACCCAATTTCCCATCCTTCTTCTCAATGCTCCCCTTCAGATCAGCACCCCACTTCTCACCCCACTGCTACCCATAGCAACATCCCATTCTTCCCAACAGCTACTCGGAGCAGCACCCCGATCCTATCCCTCTTTATGGCCATGCTGATCAGCACCCCATTTCCCATCCTTCCCCTCAATGCTCAGCCCCAGAGCAGCACCCCGCTTCTCACCCCACCATTGCTACACAGATCAGCATTTCTCACCCCACCGTTGCTACCCATAGCAACATCCCGTTCTTCTCGATGGCTACCCAGAGCAGCACCCTGATCTCATCCCTCCCCACTGCCATTCCGATTAGCACCCCATTTCCCATCCTTCCCCTCGATGCTCACCCCCTGAACAGCACCCCACTTCTCACCCCACTTCTACCCAGATGAGCACCCTGCTTTTCACCCTACTGCTACCCATAGCAGCACCCCATTTCTCACCCCGCCGCTACTCATAGCAGCACCCTGCTTCTCACCCTACTGCCACCCAGATCAGCACCCCACTTCCCACCCTACCATTGCTACCCACAGCAGGACCCCACTGCTCACCCCACTGCCACCCACAGCGACGTCCCACTCTTCCCAACGGCCACCCGGAGCAGCACCCCACTCCCATCCCTCCCCCCGCCCCCCCCGCATCCACCCCCGCTCGCGCCCCGCCCCGCCCTGCCCTCCCATCCCTCTCTCCCGCATCGCCCCCCCGTTCCCCGCCGCCCCCCATCCCGCACCCCGGGGCCGGGCGGTTCCGCTCCGCGAGGGGGCGGCCGGCGCAGGTCGCGGCGCTGCCCGGGGGCGTTGGGGCCCCTCCATCTTTGCGCCGCCGCCCGCCTCCCTCCCTCCCTCGTCATTGTCTGCGAGCGGCGGCGGCGCGGCGCTTATAAGGCGGCGGGCATTGCCCGGATGTGAGCGGCTCGCGATGTGTCCTGCAGGGAAGCGTGCCATTAGCCGTGTCTCCGCGGGGGAGGCCGCGGGGATGAGGAGGAGAGCGCTGTAAACTTGGAGCAACTTTGGGACTGTGGGTGTCGTGGTGCTGCTTGCTTTCTTTCCTTTTTTTTTTTTTTTTTTCCTCTCTTTTTTATTTTTTCTTTTACATTTTTTATTTTTATTTTTATTTTTTTTAAATTTTAAGGTGGTCCCAGAGAGCCGCCGGCCGAGCGGTGTCCCTCGCCGTGTGTGTGTGTGTGTGTGCAAAAACAATAGGGGAAAAGTTGTCGGACCTGTTCTCCTCACTGTTATTTTTCATCATTTTTTATTTTCCACCATTTTTATTTTCATTTTTATCATTTTTTTTTTTTTTTTACCGTTCCATCTTTTTTTACTATTTTTTTTAACTACTGTACTCTTTAGTACTTTTATTTATTATTGTTGCTATTATTTTTTTTATTATTATTATTTTTACTCCTCGCTTTATTTTCGTATCTTTTTCCCTATTCCGGTGACCCCAGAGCAAAATACCGGGGCGCCCGGCGCAGCACTTTTTTTTTGGCTGTGTGACCTAATAAAGCACTTCGCGCGGAAGATTTCATTTAGTATTTTTTTTTTTTTTTTTTTTAAAGTTATATTTTTTCCCTTTTTTTTTTTTTTTTTTTTCCTTGTGTGTGTGTGTTTCCCTTGGAATATTGTGAACATAATTGTGGCCATTTAAGGTAAAGTTACAATTCGCTCTTAGAGTAACTCGTGCGCATTTTTTTTAAATTTTTTTTAAAATTTTTTATTTTTTAATTTTTTTTTTTTTATTTTTTGGCTTTTTAGAATGGTCGATCCCAATGTGTCGCCGGCCCGACTCGCGCGGGGCGCGCATGCAAAGCGCGCGTTGTGCGGCCGCACAATGAGCCCCCGCGCCCTCCCGCAGGAGGAAGTTTCGCCGGGCCAAAACCGTGCAAAAAAACGTGCAATAAAGTGCTGGGGGGGGGGGGGGGGGGTCACGAATTAAAAAAAAAATATAAAAAAAAAAAGAAGAGGATAATAGAAGGGGAAAGGGGAGTGGAGGATAGAAGGGGGAAAATATTGTTCCTCTTGGCAAAGCGTCCGCGTCACGTGTGTGTGTGTGCAGCTCTGCCCTCCGCGCTGTGCCATGTGGATGTGCGCGAGATGGGGGAATTCGGACGCGGGCTCCGGGCGGGCGCGCGGCGCGGGCGGCGCTCGGCGGCTCCATGAGCGCGGTACGGAGGCGGCGCGGCCCCGCTCGGCCCCGCGGCGCGGCGCGGTGGGTACGGCGCGGTGCGGGGCGCGGCGCGGGGCTCCTTCCCTCGGCCTTCCCTTCCCGCCTCCCCTCCCCCCGGGGCTGCCGGGCCGGGCCCTCCGCGCTCGGTGGGTGCCGCGGTGCCCCCCGTCCTCGGCGCTCGTCGGGAATCGGGGCTGGCTGGCACGGCGCCGTCTCGGCGCCCCGACACTTTTCTGTCTCTCCGTCTCTCTCTTTTATTTTTTTTGGTAATTTTTATTGCGTTTTGCATCTTGCTTTTCTTTTTTTTTTTTTTTTTTTTTTTTTTCTCTCCGGCTTGTTTGCTCGCTCCGTTCCTTCCCCGCCTTCCGGCGCTGCTTTGCGCGGAAGAAGGGAGAAAAGGGGAAAAAGTTGGAGCCGTGCGGCCGGAGTTGCGCTGCGGGCTGCTGGGGAACCTCCTGTTGCACAGCGATGCTCGGGCGGCACGCAGCCGCCTCCTCTCCTCCTCTCCCGTGGCTCTGAGTGGATGTGCCCGGCTCTCTGGAACCGCACCACCGCTTTTTGTTGTTGCTTTGCTGCCCCTCCATCTTTTTTCCCTCCCTTCTCTCCCCCCCTCTTCCCCCCTCCCCCCATATCCGGACCTCCCGACCCCACTGTGCTGCTTCCCGCGGGCTCGGGACCGGCTTTCTGATTGCGGTTGTTTCCATGTTTCTAGGTTTGTGTGATTTTGCTAAAATGCATCACCAACAGCGAATGGCTGCCTTAGGGACGGACAAAGAACTGAGTGATTTACTGGATTTCAGTGCGGTAAGAAACAACGGTGGAAATTAACAACAGCTGTAAAACCCAGCGGACTGCATCCCGTGGTCTCTTGGCTGATATTTAAAATTAAAAAAAAAAAAAAAAAAAGGCAACCCAAACCCAGCCGAAGTGCGATCGGAGCGCATTGGGTAATTTTTAATCGGCAGCTTCAGCCACGGTAAATACCTTTCTGCTTAAAAAAAAAAAATCCAAACCCGAATTAGGCGTTTTTCTCGTCTGCGATGGGAAGCGCGACGGTGTGCGCGGCTGCTCGGAACGTCTCGGATGCCGAAAATGATTTCGACCGAGAAGAGACGCCCCAAATCGCGGAGCGTTCCTCCCCGCTGCCCGGCGCCGACCTCCGGCGCTCGGCCGAGCGCTTCCCATCGCACGTCGCGGGGACTCATTGCTGCCTAATGAGATCCCGATATTCCGCTTTCGGTTCTTCCCCGGCTTCGGTATTTTCGGCACGTGGGAAGCGCGAGGAAAATCCGCGACTGCCTCCGCTGAAAGTTTCTCGCCGGCACCTTTTCCCCGAGCTCGGGGGCTCCGACCCGGCCCCCCGGGGGCCCGCCCGCCCCCCCCCGGCCCTTCTTCCTTCCCCCACCGCCCGTCCCTCCCTTCCAGCTCTCGCCCCTTCCCGCAGGGGCCGCGGGTTGGCCGCGGGATGCGCGCGTGGCGCTGAGCTGAGCGCGGCTCCTCCCGGCCGGGGCTGCGGCCGCCGCTCCGCGCTGCGCTCCGGAGGAATGGCTTTGGGAAGTTGGGCCGGGAAGCGCAGCCTCAGGCAGCCCGGCAGCCCCCTCGTCGCTCGGTGCACTTTTTCCATTTGTTCCCAGGCTTTTTGCAGGCTCTGACTCAGGGAAGGTGCGTGTTACCCACCAGACACGTCGAGGAAGAGAGAAACCAATTAGGGTCGAAATAAATGCAAGCGAGAGAGAGGGTGAGAGAGAGAGGGAGAGGGAGCGGCGCGCTCAGACTGCGCTCCTCTTAGAGACGGAATGAGGATTTAGGGCAGGTGGCACTTTGCACGGTCATTATCTGGGCACACGGATGACAGGAGAACCCTAAAGCGGGCTGCGGATGGACGCTGCTACCTTTATGGCCAAGGTTTTGCCCAACAAACTTTTTTTTCGCCTTCCTCAACCAGCGAGGATTGGGGGGAGCGATCCGGGCGCGGGGCTGCGCTGCGTTTCCCGGGGTGCTGCTGGGGGTGCGGAGCCGGGGGCTCCGTGTGGGGCTGTCCCCAGGGCTGGGCAGAGTTTGCAGCGGAGGAACTTTGGCTGACAGTGCTTTTCCCGTAGTAACGTCTCTGTGTTGCTTTTTTGTCGTTTTTTTTTTTTTTTTTTTTTTTCTTCTTTAGATGTTTTCACCTCCCGTGAGCAGTGGGAAAAATGGACCAACTTCCTTGGCGAGTGGACATTTTACTGGCTCAAGTACGTACCCGCTTTGTTCAGCGCGCGGCTGTGATGCTCTGTTATTTATCCATAGGCATTACCTTTGTTGTGGTTGTGGTAATCTCTTCTGGGGCGCACATCCATTACGAACGGAGTGGAATTCTTCCTACCGTTACTCTTAGTATTATTATTGCTATTTCCACAAGGCGTTTTCGCAGCATTTGCACTGATTTATGATTTTTTTTTTTAAATCCCTGCTCTGTGTCGTTGTTCAAGGTGAGGGTAGTTTAAGTTTTTTGTTATTATTTTTTTAATTTAGCCTCGAGGGCTTTTATACTTTTACACTTGACTTTATACTTGAGAAGCGAGAATCAAAGCATCTTGAACGGGAATTAATTTGGTAAATAAGGAAGGCTGCCGGGATTAAATAATGAATGGAGCACGCAGCCCCGGCACCGAGCTCTCAAGGTGCGGCGGTGCTCCTCGCCATTGGAAAAGGGTGATTTTTTTTTTTCTTGCTGAATGGAAAGATGGAAAGTAGGGCGTTTTCTTTCCAAATATCCGCCCGCTTCTGGCGAGCCCCTGACGCTGCCCAGGGTTTGTTTGTGTGTGCGGTTGTTTGGCTGCAGCCGGGCTCTGTGGGCAACTTCTGCCTTCTGTAAAGCAGGAGTCCTGCTGGATGACAAAAGAAATAGCGGAGTTGGTTGCGGCGGAACATATGTGTGCAATAATTGTCTGGCAAGTGTAGCTTTACGCAGAGGCTTTTAAACGCCTGAGGAATGAGAGGTAAAGCTAGCGAAGGCGCCGAGGCGCTGGGAATCTCCTGGCTGTGCTGTGGAGCTGGGCGAGGTGCGTGCGGCGCTCGGTGCAGGACGCAGCCCCCGGCCCTGCTGGGAGCTGCAGGACGGCCGCACGGAGCGGCTCGGAGCCGGGTGGAGTGGAGCTGCTCTCATCAGACGGTGCGTTTGGATGAGACCCGCTGCAAGGCGCCCGTGGGTACCCAGATAGGAACACGTCACTGTGTGCAGCTCCGTGCCTGGCGTTGGCAGTTGGCGCTCAGTTAAAGGAACCTCTTCGGTGCGCTGCTCAGAACCGTTGTTAGGAGAGGCGCCGAGATGTTAATTAACTTTTTATTTACGAAGAAAGACTTTGAAATTTGACAGGAGTCTGCGGCGTGCGTTTGTAGGATGCTGCACCGAGTGCCGCCTGCAGTTATTAAGGATTCGTTCTACGCGTTTTATTCTGCTCAGACTTGCAAAATACCATCCTTTATTTTTGCAGATTTGGTACTGTTACGAGTGTAGTGATTTTGAGAATTACGTTGTTAGGTCTGAGTAACTTTCCAAACGCGTTTTGCCTCATGTCACACAGGCTGAACGTTTTAATCCCATTTTTTTGTCACTCTCTGAATTTAAACGTAGTTTAAATACCTGATTTAAGCAAATACATAATATTCCCTTTATTTGTTTCCGTTGGAGGGAAGCAAAAAGTATTTGTGCCAGACGAATCAATTTGCCATGCTTACGTAGGTAGCGGCCAGTGCAGCGACGACACTCGGTCTACCAGCAATTAACTGGGCAGCTCTATTGAATAAATGCACCGCAAACCTCATCTGGGAGGGCATTGCGATCAGAAATAACACAGCAGAGCGAATCCGAGCAGTGAGGGAAGCAGAGGGCTGCTGCTGCTTTGTTGTCTCTGAGCCTGAAAACATTCAGGTAACCTTGGCACATCCTTTAGCAGGTACAAATGATGTGTTAGGTGTGTAAGGTTAAGGTAGGGCCCATCCCGGGCAGCACCTGGGATCTCCCACAGCATCCTGCTGTGCGTGCGCACAAGCAGCCTGGTGGCACAGGGCGATGGCTCAGTAGAGACACATTGTGTGCGTTGGCACACTGCTTGCACAAAGATGTGCAGCGCAGGGTACGCTCTCGGAAGGGAAGATCGGCTTGGATTTACTTCCCAGACCTCTGCTGCTTGGTGTGAGGTGCGGAGAGGTGTAGCGAGCGAGCAGCGGTGTCCAAAAAGTTGTGAGAATGCACGTCTGCATGGGCGCTGGCTGCGGCCGCAGGGCTGTGTGCTGTGCTGGCAGCTGTCTGGGTGCACGGCTCACTGCTGGGAAGTGCTCTGACCGCCTCCTGCAGCGAGCAGTGCTTGGGAAATGCGGGGTTGCGTGCGGACACCCGGCAGCGTTCTGTGGAGCTGCGGGGAAGCTTTGAAGGGAGCTTCACAGTGCGTGCGTGCAGGTTGTTGTGCTGGATCTGCGTCCTGCTAACGCCGAGGTCCAGCAGCCGGCGTGCAGCGCGTCCTTCCTGCTGGGCTGATGCCCTCCTGCAGCCTCAGCTTCCCGTAGCAGGGAAGCTGCTGTTCCTCTGCCAACATCCACGGTTTGGTGCGAGGGGGAACCACGGGTGTCGTTCCTCTGCGTGGAGCTGAAACTTCTCTTACTAGAAAATAAAAAAAGGCCCCAAAGAAAAGTAATCCCAAGCAGCGAAGTGAAACTAAGTGTAGTTTAGGAAGCGTGGTAGTATTTCATGCTTAAAGTCATCCTGATGGCTTTTTTACACGTCTCGTATATGATGCTCCATTGTGATTTGTAACGTGTGAATGGAAATAAAGTAAAGCCACGTTTCCTTTTAATCTTTAATTTCACAAATATGGCTTCTTACCATGTTGAGAAATGGTGAAGGCTGTGCGGGAGAAAGGAATGTAACCTGAGCCACAGCCGTGACATTCCCATGGAGCATTTTTCACATGAAAGGCTTTTGTCAACCCAGCAAAGGACCAGGAGTTTTCGTTTGATGTTTGCAGGTGTTCAGCAGAGAGCACTAAAACAGTTCAGCCATGCTGGCTGAGGGACTCTGACCTGACCAGGGGAGCTGCTGAGGGCTGCACTGATTTTGGAGAAAGCTCCCCTGGAGTTAGCTCAGATTTATATGGCGTTTGTTAAGCGATTTAATACCTGCGACTTCAGCTGAGCAACGCTCGCCCCATAGAAGGAAGCGAGGTTTGCTGTTTGTGTTGTTGTTGTTGTTGTTGTTAGGGCAGTTGCTAAAATAAAATGAACTTTCCTAAAATTTTTGGCATAGTTCGGCTTCCACGGTGCAGGCATCAGCCGTGAGCTCAGTGTGTGCCACACTTGTGATCGCTGAGCGCGGCCATCGCTGCTGCTGGATTTGCAGGGTGGGTTTCGAAGCAGATTTGCAGCAATTGCGGCGCTGGGAATTCGCTCGGTCTGTCACGTTTGGCATATTTCGGTTTTTGAACTGTTAATCAAAGCCCACATCTTCCCCATCGGGCTCAATTCTTGCCTCTGCTATTTTAAGTCTTGCATTTTACCTAAGTTTTGTAGCATCTGCTGTAGATGCCCACTCTGTGTGTGTTTGAGCGCTGCGTGGGGGGGAGCAGCATTAGAGTGCCCGAATTGGGCTGATGGGCCTCTCCTGCAGCACAGAAAATCCTTCTAGCACAGACACCGCTGCGCTCGGCTAAGTCAGTTTAAAGGATTTAAAGACTTGCTTTTAATTTCGCCATTAGTTTGATTAAGGCTTGTCCTGCATTAGAATAACAGCAATTACAAATTAATATACCCTAAATGAGGGAATCACAAATTCTGCTCGGTTTTGAAGTTGTTGGTTTTTTTTTGTTGTTTGTTTGTTTGCTTGTTTGTTTTTAAATAACTTTTTGTGTGCCTGTGAGCAAATGACAGGAAAATAGTGTAAGGAAGCAGCAGCATGACATTTTTCGGGCTGTGGCTGCAGGGTAGGAGGCATCATTTCGCCATGATCAGTTGCTTATCAGAACTGATTCAGTGTAACCTCCATCTGGAGACGCAGTGTTTGGATATCGAGTGGCCAGCCTGGGCACACCTTGGTGTGATGCACGGGTCCGTGGTGCCAGCAGGAGCAGTGCGGTGGGATTTTTGGAAGAGTGCTTTTGTCTCACGGGTGGCGTTTTGGGATCGCAGTTGAAAATGTGAAAAGGAATTTTTAGCTTATCATCGGTACTTTTTAACAAGGAAGGAGAAGCAGCACAGGGATGTAGTGATGGTGCTCGTGTGCGTGGCTGAAGGGTGGTTTGCTCAGTGCAGCACCAAAACCCCGACTGCAGCCCCACAGACGCTGCTCCTTCAGGATGTAGCTGGGGTACACAAAGACCAGCCATGCTTCCCACCCCCATGTCCTCTGATGGTGATTAAGCAGAGGGATGCTCCCCGCCTCCCAGCTCCGGCCGCTCAGGTTGCTCCCTGCAAGCGGGCAGGATGGGACTGCGCTGCAGGGCCGGCCTCACGCTGCCGTGCCAATCTGCAGGAGCTGAATCTTTGCTTACAGAGGTGTTGTCCAGCTCTGCTGAGCCCGCTTGGAGGAGTTGAGCGCTGCAGGGGAGAGGTTCCTGCTGTCTGAGTCCCACCCGGGGCGCATCCCGCGGGAGCATCCCAGGGCACTCCCCAGCAGGCGGGCGACTTCCTTCCGAAGCTGGAGGTTAAGCTCTCACCTTGGCGACTGAAAAGCGCAGGGAGAACTCCCTCTCCTTTCTGAGAAGTAGCCCTGGTTGATGGCAGAGGGCCTGAGCTGATGTCCACAAAAGGGCTGTGTGGGGCGCGATCAGTGAGAGGCAGCTCAGCCGTGCCTCCCGGCTGCTGCAGCTCTTTTAGAAATGCTTTTTGTCATCATCGCTGTATATCTACCTTGTCAGGGCTCCCGAATACATTTAATAATTCAGAAACACACACATTAGCTGTCTGAGAGGCTGGATGGCTCGGGGGCCAGACCCAGCCAAATGTCACCTGGAGGAGATGCTGGTGCGTGCCGCAGCCCAGGTCTGCAGTCACTGGTGGTACTGGGGATGGTGCCGCGGGTAGGAGTTCTCCATGGGGGAGGTGTGTATGGTGGATGGGGAGGTGGGGGCTGCCCAGGGCTCGGGGAGCTGTGCAGAGCTGGTGCGGTGTGCTCAGGAAGGGTGCAGAAAAGAGGGGCACCGGGCGGCGTGAAGTGAAGGTTGGCTTCTTCCCATGAGATCCGCGCTCTCTCCGCTCCCAG